TAAGTATTTCATTTTTCTACTGGATCTGCCTTTTAACTTTTCCTTCTTGGTTAAAGGTCATGTAACCAGTAGAATAATGTTGTCACTAAATAACATCTTTAAGCAGCATTCTCTGTAATGTTATTTTTATACTGTCAGTCTTTGGCCTATTTTCGTTCCTACAGAAAATAAAGCTATGTAGTCTTCTGTACTGAAGTGATGGGAGCAAGACTATTTTCTTGAAAATTACTTGGAATTTGGTAATCACCCTGCGATAGGTCATAACTAAGGAAGCACCCACCGAGCCTGAGGACACAGATTAAAACATAGAAATGCTGGTGTCTAACCTCCCGTCACAGTCAGCGGGGCGATACAACCCAGTCCGTACGCCAACGGAGCCTGGAGACCACTTCACCCCATCACCCACTGCAGGCTCAGGTCAGTTGCTCCCCAGGCTTTCAAGCACCTTTTGGGGTAGGGTCTCCTGCCTGTCATGCAGCTGCCAGTTCATAAGTATGCAGATTTGTCTGTAGGTCCTGTATTACATCTGCCAAGTTTGTCAAAATGCCTTGGATAACCTAGACATCCAAGGTTATCTTAGGACAATCTTAAACGTCAGTACACACATGTTTAGGCAACTGAACCAAGCCCTGCGTGACTTTCGAAGGGTGAGCCAGGCTTCACCTGGCTGTGCTGACAACCTTCACAGCCTACAATGGGCACTTAAACTTCTAGCTTGCACGTAGATACTCATACTCAGACACCGACACTTAGGTATCTTAATTTTGGGCTGGGTCCTAGCCTTTTAATCTTCACAGGATTTACCAATGCATCTATGTAAATGAGGCAATAGAAAGGCTTTCTACTTAAAATTTAAAGCCCTCCAGAACGGCATTATTCAAAATTGAAATTCAGCCTCAGAAGTCGGAATAACACCTCTAAAAATATGTTAGGATAGATCATCATCCACGAAATCTTACAGCCTCCTGTGAGCGAAACTGAGCAGGTAACAGTTTCCTTGCTCGCTTGAGTACCGCTAGTCCACTAGCTACAGGAGCAGTAATTAAAAGCTTTGCTAAAGATCTCTGAAGTATGTTTAGTCACAATTACTGTGTAGGTATTTTAAATAAGATGTTTTACATGCCTCTGCCCCCATGTGTGCACTAGAGGGAGCTGGGACCAAACCCACCGTACACATGCCCTAACGCCGCTTCCCACCGTCATCTCGCACTGCTTGCAACTTTGCTGGTTCCATCCTCCGGGAAAACCACAGCATCCCCAAACAACCACCAAACCTAAGCTCTTTAAGGAGCTAACCCTGAAGCAAGGTTATGCAGCTGCGGCTTCCAGCCCCACTCTGGTGGGAACAGTTGGAGCACTTATGATTGGGGGAAGAGGAAAAGGGGAAGGACCTCTCACCTCTGACTGGTCGTGCTCCTGGAGTCCCCACATACCTTTGGAAGTCCACCTGCCTTTCCCTGGAAATCCCAAGCTGAAGTCCCCCCTCCATCCTCTCTCTCCACAGCTTGGCAGCTAGAGTAAAGGGGGGACACCCCCTCACAAGACGTCCACGCTCAGCGACCGGCAACACCACCAGCTCCTGCATCAACTGAGTCAGTTTTCCACCAGGATTTGGAAAACAGGGTTTGCTGCAGCACTTTTGCCCCATCCTGTTTTCATCGCACTGAGCCAAAGCGACTTTCCTCCACTCTGAAGTACAATGCAAGAAAACTATTTTGGTTTAAAAAACTAATTTCCCTAAGTCAGGGAGAGCAAGAGGCTTCCAATTTTCCATATATTCTTAACTGGTACCTTCCTGCCCGGATGTACTGCAGTATAGCCTTTAACCCTACACAACCTTCTCATGTGCCTCGTGCCATACCTTGAGCACACAACGCAAGAGGTTGCTGGCCAAGTGTGACCGACTGCACGTGCGTCACTGCAGGCACCTTTTGAGCTGTTACTCGGGCTATTTTCAGAAAGAAAGGGCATACAGGAGACATGAGACATAGTTATCTTTTTTTCAAAATACAAGCTGACAGAACACACTGAATAATTTACTGGACCCGACAGAGTTGTTAGGGTTTTTAGCTGAGACTCCATGACTTTTGGGATGTTGACTTTTCCTTCCGCTGGTGCTTCAAGGACACCTGGATCATCACGCTCAACCCAAGGAAGTCCAGCGATCTTTCCCCAGGCCAGAATACTAAGTCAAATGATACTGAGCTAAATGATTAAGCCCTGCTACAACTTTCTTTTCATGCATCACATTATGGGGAGAAGCCGTGGGAGCTGAAACGGCACGGGCTGAAGGCTGCAGGTTGGTCAAAAAAGTGCAGCAGAGACACTGGAAAGAGGAAACTGTATCCCACAGCTATATAAAGCAGAGTGGCAAAGACTGGGAAAGGAAATTTCATCTAGAGGGGAATGAAAAAAGTCCTTTTCTGAAATTCACAGGAGAGTTTAAATCCATACAAGATGACACAAACAGAGGACATTATGACCATGAACAAATTCGTAACCCAATTTAATTACCTGCTTCCTTGGGCTAGAGAAATACTGAGAGCTAGGCCCCCAAAGTTACTATGGGGCCTTTCCCAGTGTTGTAGCTTTCTCTCCAACTCCTGAGAGGTTGTAAATAAACAGCAAACTCGGAGATCTGCCTCTTATAAAGAAGAAGTAACTACTAGTAGTTTCCCTACTGTCAAATACACAGGGGTTTTTTTACAGTAGATTTAAAAGATTTGCAATGATTAAGACAAAGACAGGAGCGAGAAGAAAAAAGACAGCGATGGCACATGCTACAGAAGCCAACGAGAAAAGCTGCTGGGGTGAGACTCATCTCCTCCACGTGCATCGGTGCAGAGCTTTGGTTACGCACCTACGCTCCTTCCACAGGCGAGAGAAAGAGGCAGGGCGCTCCAGGGCAATTTACCTTGCCCTAACACGGACGTCTAGAATAGCAGGTGAACTGGATGCCAAACTTCCAAATGGCTGAAGCTAAACAAGTGGAAACCCATCCCCGTGTCAAACCGCCCTTCGATTTCAGTATGGAGTTACACGTATAAGCACTAAATAAATACAGACAGACACTTTTTACAACTCCTGTGAAATTTAAAGTGCTCTAACCCTCCAATGCAAACAAAATCTGCCCTGGGAAATGGAGGGCTCTGCCTGTCGTCCTGCTAGAGGAGGAAGTGCATTAAGGCACACCTATGTCTGTCCAGTGGTACTAGTTACTCATGTGAAAGTATTCCCATAAAGAAAAAAAAAAGACTGCTTAGTTGTCCTTTTATAGGTGCACATGCATTTATTCTACATTCTACTTCAGTCAGTCCCACTATCACTCAGGAGTGCGGGTGGCAGAGCTGCCCCGGCAGCATTCCCACACTGGAGACGGTCCCCAGCTGACCCTTCTACCCAAACCGCCCTGTTTTCTCATAGACCCTTGACATCTTCAGGTCCCTCTGTCACCACTGTGTGATCCCAAAACTACGCTACATACCACCAAACAATTTTCTGCTGCAGACACTGTTCTGGGAAGGACAGTGAAATGCACCATTTGCCTGCTGCACTGTCCTCCTCCTTGTCCCAAGCATTTTTTCATTAAAACTAGCTCGCTCTCAGAAAAGAACACACAAAACAACCCTCTTTTGATGAAAATGCTAGAAGCACAAACACCACAATGCTGGCAAGTGAGTTGTTTAAAAAAAAAAAACAAACGGACTGGTTTGTGTTTCTTTAAGAAAGTAGGGTGTATTTCAGAGGTAGTATATTTTTCCTAAATTATTATAAATAAACTCTTGTGGCAACTTCTGGTTTTCCACGGGATACTTAATTAGTTTGGGGACTGACAGTAAAAAAAAATAAATATACTAGTATAACATTATAAAGCAAACCATTTTTGCTGATTTCTCTGTAATTCCTTGGCAGGTGGAGGAGAATGAATCAACGGGCGAGCATTTCTACTAGGTTTGCAGCGGCTTGTCGGTCTGGCCAGGAGCAACACAAGGGAAGGCGATGGGGACACAGCCCTTGGCTTTCTCTTGGTGAGCAAATCTGCTTGCTTCCTCCTCAGTTTGACCTCTCAAAACCCGAGGGAAAACGGCCCTAAGGGGGAAGTGTCCCAGCATGGTCCCAAAGCCAGAGCAACCCAACTGCTGTGCAGACCCCTCTCTGGGCAGATGCCGGGCACATTGGGGTGGGAATCTCTACAACTCCAATGGAGGAGTCAAACTCTCCGAGCTGCAGTGGAAACCTCTTCCCTGGGAATCAGGTCCTGCAGGAAAAGGGGGAAGCCCTACCAGAGTGAAAACTGCCATTAACACAACAAAATGCAGAAGAAAAGGAGAAAGTATCATCTTTCCCAACCTGCCCCTGCCAATAACCTGAAGGGTTCTTTGTAACAACATCCTTCCTCAGGGAATTGTAATTTCCAGGTTAAAGATACATTTTCAAACATAGAGCAGGCATAGTCATAAATATCTCACGTGCTGTTTCGATCACTAGCATTTACAGAAAACATTCAATTTTGTTTCTATTTTTTTTTTTCAGCTGCCTTGCCCCACTTCTGATTTTAGACAGCTTCCATGCTTACAAATTAGTCACTTCCCCACACCGCATGGAGAAGGCCACATAACACACCTGAACGTTGGAAACCTGTGACCATCTTCCTTTTGAACTTAGGAGTTAATAACAGACTTCTGTAAGTAGTCCAGTCCTAAGGTGATCCTAACTCCAGCTGGGTTAATTACACGGTAATTAGGTACAAACATCGCAACACAAAACACAGCTACATCATTATTTGCAACAAATGTTAACTCTAAATAAGTGCAACCTGTCCCACAGACACTTGCTATAAACGACTTAAAAGTAAAATTTGATGGGGTAAACACAGAAGAAAAAAAAAAAATTCTCCGGGAGAATTTTTTTTGTTAAAAAATAAAATAAAATAAAATAAAAATCTCAGCACTCATTTAGAGTTCGGGATCTTGTGAAAGAAAGCTTTAAAAGGAGCAAACCTGATTTGCTGTGGCTGTTGCGGCGAAGGGAACACTTGTTGCAGGAGTTGTTGCTGCAGAGACAGTGGCGGCCGTAGCGTTGTGCATCATGGGTACTTTCAGGAGGGGAACCATGGAAGCAATGAACAGGAGGGTGCAGCATTATGGTAAGAGAAGTGGTATTTTTGGCATGGTGAATATCAAGAGCAGCAAGCCATCATCATGGGTTAAACCGGCAGATGGCATGCAATCACAGTGCAAAGCGAGAAAGCGTGGCGGAGAAATAAAAAAAAGGGAAAATAGCTTATTACAAGTACAATTAAAGGAAGGTTGTCAACACAATCGGCGATTCCCAGAAAAAAACAGCAAGGACCATTGAAAACGCGGGCCTTATCGCTAAGAACAGGATTACTTGTGCAAATGAGGGCTCTACCAAAATAGCCCGTTACCTGAGAATTGTTACTTGGGCAATTTGTTTTCCTCCAGTATCGACATAAAGCACTCCAAAATAAAATTCTACTAAAAAAAAAAATAATACAGTGGTTTGTCCTGGGAAGGAAACCGATGTTTATCCTAATTTTTAAACACAATTAGAACATGAATTATTTTCATGTATCTTCCTCTTGAAGAAAGCGAGATACTCGCTGTCTTCCTTTATAATCCAATTTATGCATTTTTTTTTCTACGAGCACTGCATAACCGTTAGACTTTATCAGAGTTAAATTACCATCTGCTTTGAGGCAAAAATCAGGAGAAGGATGATAATAATTTTCCTGATTTAAATACTACTTTGTTTGATCTAAAAAAGCAAGGATGGTTTTGTGAAAGTCGCTGCTCCTGCTCATTTTAAGAATGAATTTTAATCAGCATCTTCATGGGAGAATTACTATCTTGATGTTTTAAAGGCTTGATATTTTAACTCCTTCTCTGAGTAATCTCACAAAACCAAAACAAAAGAAAAATCATGGGGATAGGGCTATAGGATAGATGAAATACTACTTTTCCATCTTAGAAGCTGTTGCATTGGACTTGCATTTTGCATGGCCAAAATGTTAACTCCAAGCAGCAAATATATTTAAAGGAGGAGTAAGATTCATATCAGAGGTTTCAACAGAACCTCTGTGGATCAAAGCAGGCATTTCTGGGAAACGCTGATAAAACTTTCTAACACACAGCAAAAAGGAGAAATAGGCACACCACTATGAAACTTTAAAAACACTGATGAAATTTGCTGGCTTTTTCCGGTATTTTATGATTTTATAGTACTAGACAATATAAAATATAAAGAGAAATAAAACTTTGAAAACTGAAAAGCAGACTGGAATTCATGGTATTATGCTTTTGCAGTGTAGTTGTTATAGCAGGTGATATCACATCTGAACTGCGGCTTTCATCTACAAGTCTAAACACTCTGCAAAGTCAACCGGAAGGACAAGCGAACCTTTAATTCTACTCATCGCCTAAATCTTGCCTAGGATTTTTGAAACAAGTGAATATACATCATATACAGTATAAAAAGAGATCAATAAAGAAATTTGGAACCTACCAATACTGGTAGCGGGTGTCATGCACAAAACTGACCCTGCGTGTCATGCAATGATAGGTGAAAAAAGTGGATAAAGGGAAGAAACAGGTTAGCCGTTTAGAGTTAACATTCAAAGTGAGATTCAAGCATAACCACAGAGAAGTAAGTTAGTTAAATGAAACTGTAAGGTCATTCATAGTTTTGCTTTGACAGAAAAAAAAAGGTGACTGTGTTTCTTACTGAGCTCCTACCTGAGTACACTGTGCAACTTTCGGCATATTTCCATGTACATTCCAGATGCTTCATAAACTTTGTCATTTAGTACTTCTATCCTTTCACTTAGTACTTTTGCAGCAACAGGTTTTCATTTGCAGAAACGTCTTTGGTTAAATACCCCATTATCTGGGGATTTTAGAACTCACCGCGTAGCTCAGCTTATTGATGTGCAGAAGGGAAAGAAGTTAAACCGGAATTAGCCCATACTGTTCTGGGGGGGGGTTGCCGAGTTATCGTTTGATGCTAACGTACTCATTCTTCACACAACACCTGAGGTGGAGAGGTGCTTCTGACCAGAGAAAATCTTGCTGTGACAAGTCCTCAAGCTAAACACCTCAAGGCGGGTAACGCTCCAGCAAAACGCTCTCAGCACCCCTCAAAGGTGCTCCGGGAAGACTTGCTCACCTGCTGCGGTTTAGTTTTGGTGCCTAGTCCACCTTTATCCTTCCTGGAAGACCAAATTTTTTAAAAAACCCCAAAACTACTAGCATATTTTCAGTGCAGTGCATACAGCAAGCCGATGACGGCGGGCAGGTAAGGAGACAAGTCCCACATACACGCATATTTGATACGAAGTCAAATATGCTTCCTGTATTCCTGCTTAATTACTACTGCAGCCCCTTAACGGACCATCGCCGCAGCCGTGTAACTATGAATGACCTTACCCAAGAACAGTCCCCGGAGAATACACACAGGTCCTCCTCTAGAGGCTATAGAAACACTAACAAACAGCAATGGGAAGAGAGAAAAGATCCGTTGTTTTTAAGATCATTCACCAAACAATAAGGAGAAGGTGACAAAGCAATCAAACTGATGTAAAACAAACAAAGTGCAGAACTTTGGAGGTAAGCCATGCTGAGTCAAGCCTCACACTGTTTATTAGGGGAGCAAGTGGTTAAGAAAGCAGAGAAGTTATATAAAACAATTAAGTTTTATATATATTCCAGCAACAAAACTTCTTAAAATTTAACACACACGCACGCACACACAAGGAACACATTTGAAAATTATACCAGTTCAGAAAATATCACATAATCATTTAAAACCCAACAGGTAATGTCATGCATTGCTCCTTAGACCTGGGTGGCATGACAGTCCTTACACCCACCAAATCCAACCTTCCCAGGAAAACATGGGAATATCAGATGAAGCATCTTTAACGAAAAGATCCTGACACCCACTCATATAGAGGGGGTTCCCCTTTCCTAACCCCCTCCCGTACCCCGGTGCTCTCTCTAACATCCTTTCTCGGTGCCGATGATGTTCACAGAGAGCAGGAGGTTCAGCACCGTGAGAAAGGTTTTCCACTCTAGGCCTGGGCTCCATCTGCTACGTTATCCCTCTGTTTCTTCTTTTTTCCAGGCACTTGTTTTGGGGCTTGACAACAACCTGGCCCTTAGGGTTTGGTTCCAAGATCCACCCTTCCTAACATCAGAAATTCGTAAGATAAAACTATAATTACAACCATTCGTTGGCAAGAGGGATGGACAATAAAAAGCACGAAGAATGAGCTACTTAAGGAAGCCTAAGCACTCCAAAAGTCTGGAAAATATCTGAATGCTATTTCTCTGAAAAAGGTTTAAACTGCTGTATTTTTCATAGTTAATTTAAAAACCTTGGCAACTGCCCATAAGAGCGACACGCCCTGACAGGGAGTGCTTAAAAGAAGAAATAATGTATCATCCTGCTGCAGATTCTCAGGGTTACAATGTAAACCAAATTTGTGGAAATTTCTGTATGTTTGTAAGCACAGGGCAGTCTTCCATTCATGTCCAAATAGGCAGTCTCACATTTTTTTTTTTTCCCCCACAAATCTAATTATTTCCCCCACAAATGTCAGTATGTTTTCTGCCACAGATATTCTGGTGCACCAATGTGCTAAAAATACGGCATGCTGTAGCTTACTATTATAAATACAGAGGCAGGCTCCAAGGTTGTTACTCAGGCCTTATAGCAGAATTCCATGAAGTCAAAGCCATCTGTGTTTGTTTTTATCTTTAAAAACATATGGGAATGCTGATAGATCGGGAAATCATCGTGCGTTGCGTTTCACTCCTTGTTTAACCGACATTATTTCTATCAACTAAAATAACATCGCTGAAATCTCAAGCGCGTTTGCAAACACGTAGTTTTAAACGATTCTGGAAGTTCACACTCAATAACCTTCTGATACTAAAATATGTAATTCGTTAATTACAAACGAAAGCGCAGAATCCATTAGGCAGGGCATTTACTTTTGGGAAGTTTGGAGTGGGGGTGACTGACATAATTTAGAGCGTTATTGTTTACACAAGCACCTAGCACATTCTTTCTCTCACAGCGTTAAAGAGAAGCCCTGCCACCAGCCAGGGTGCAGTTCAAGCCATCCCTGAATGCTCTGATTTTTTACAGGGTTCCGAGCGCTGAAATGCAAGTTACATTCACAGATCACCCTTATGAAGAATAATATCCCCATCTATTAGCTACAAGTGCTAGGAAAAGTACTGGTGGCCTTCCAAAACAAAAGGCACAAAAACGCCTCTGGTGCCTCAAAAGCCCTTTAGCGCGGCTGTGGGGAGCGACGCGTTTTGCCAGGGCCTTCCACGCAGGTATCGACTGGAAGATTACGGCCGGCGCTGCCCCGCTCGTGCGCAGCTGGGGTAACCCCCGCGGCTGCAAAACGGCACCCAAGGGAGCAGGAGGATGCGCCTGGGCCACGGCACGCTTCTCGTGGCACCACTGAGGCGTGATGCTTTTCCCAGCATTTTCATGAGAACTTAAAAATTTGTGGAAGTTTGCCCTCTCGTCTCCTAGGAGAGCACTGGCAGATAAAAATCTATTTAAGGTGGGAAATTTAAGGCAGGAAAAATAGGGCAAACTCTGGACAACGATGAACGAGGCCCTGAATGTGAAGAGCAGCCTAACGACACATTGAAATTTCTACTTCAATTCTCGTACTAACGTGTAAATATCTGTGCAGACTTCACCTCAAGTAGGGTAGGGAGCGTAATAAAACTGTTCGGTGCAACTGCCTGCCAAGGAGGCTGCCTAAGGAACACGAAATTGGTTGGGCGTGGGTACAACGTACCTGTTGGGATGAACGCTGCATGCTGCTGCAACTGAGCATTGGCAAGAGCCTGTTGATAGTGCAAGACACTGGGATTGAAAACGGCACTGGCACCATTGCTTTTTTCAAGTGCTTGTCTCTTTGGTAAAGGGTGAAGAACACCAGGAGGAAAGGCCTGTAAATAAGAAAGTTAGTTAAAATGGCGTCGTTTTTAAGACGTTGTCCGTAACACATACATAAATACAAAAACTTCATATTTTTTTTTAAAGCGGCTAAGATGCCTCGCCATGCATATTAACTCAAAGCACAGCAATGTAAAATGAGTGAAATTTTGTTATTGATAGCAAAAGCATGGTACTATTAACCTAAAACTGTAGCAGCACAACTACTGAAAAGAAATGCCTTTACAGCAACGAAAATGGCATTGCCTTTAAATAGGTTTTCAAATATTATAGGGAGAAAAAACCACTTGTGTTTCATTGCCAAGTATTTTCGTGTTTTAATTTAAATACCATTTCCTATTATTATACAGATTAATGGATTACGTTAAGCATTTTCAATTACAGAAGCAGTTTTATCTCAATTCGACTTTTCATGAGAGGATATTTAAACAAATGAAACCATGTTAGGAACCAAACTAAATCGTTTGCATTTATTACGTATGAGAATGAGATGGATAAATAGACTTTCCGGTAAATTAACGAGTATGTGAAATCATTTCCGGTTGATGTTCAAAAGTAAAGCGATACAAATTTCATTAGTTGCTTCTCTTGAAATCAAACAAAAAAAGAAAAAAAAAAACCCAAAAAGCTACATGCAAAGCAAAAGGTGAAAGGTCAAAGTACCAGGTCTACAGTTGCTTCGAGAGGTCGCTTCATTGCTTTGGCAGTCGACTGAGTCTTTTAATAACAGGCAGCGAGCACATGATGGCAGTGGGCCAATGGGATTCAAGCGAATTAACATACAGGTAAACAGCAAGCAGAGGTGCATCATGGGAACGGCATTGCATTTGTGGATAGGTGAGAAGGAAAAAAATATTCTGAATGCAATATACAACATACAAAACACTAGGCATGCACAACAACAAAAATGTCTTCTAAAGAAATGAATATTACATTTCGAATTAGTACCGAAGCAAAAATGCATCTACTATACCTTAGTTAAAAGCATATAAGAGAGTAAAATATAGATGTTTGAAATTTAGGAAAGTTGAGTAAAACAGCAGCTTGCAGACACTATTAAGCATCGTATAAACACTTCACAGAGATGCAGAAAGTTGTAAGGGTACGCCTATAAGAATTCCTGATAAGTTAGTTAAATCACATTTTAAAGTGGAAAAACCAATTTGGAAGGCTACGTTTTCAAATACAAAGCACTAGTGGGACTTGAAATGCGTTACAAATGCTGTTAATGTCAGTGCTTGCAAGGTGAGGTTCTTTCAATTAAGAGAAGTGCGTCATTCAATAGACTCGGGGTTCCAAATGACCCCCAATGAGAGAGGTTCTCCTTTTCCAATACAAAGCAGAATAAATAATACGTTTAGTTACACTAACTTATCATTAATTCTTTTTTTTTTTTTTCACCCTACAGCTGTGTCATTTTTGTAGATATTTTTTTCCTGGTAACTTACCACATTACATTGAGAGGGAAAAAAGTCTTTCAGAATTTAAAACACATTTTCTAAATTTTGCTACAACTTTCAGTATTAACTTCAGGAGCAGAGGGCAAAAATACTGCTCTCAGTTCGTAAGAGAACATTAACGTATAAGTTATGATACTAGTTCAGCATTATTATTTTTTTTTAAAGAAAGTATTTAGGCATAGTACATAGGCATATACATTTACTTCCATAGTAAGATCAAACTTAGGGCTGATATGATGGCGTTCTGTAAAAACTCTTCTCATATAAAATACTACTTTCAAGCTTTGTAGTGTAAACAATTCTTACAAACCTTTAGAAAGGAAAGGAAGATTTACTTAGAAATCAGAATTTTTATGTTTGTTTTTCAAACACAGGCTGACATTTAGCTCTTTTTAGGATATGCAGATCATGTCTATCTTCACATCAGTATGTGGAAATAGGGAACAAAAGTGGGAAAAAAAAAAGAAAGAGGACAAGGCACAAAATACCTACAAACAGTTTATGGTCACAAGTTTAGCTAGTGACGACAGGGTATTTTGCAGGACAGCCCTCACTTTGCCTATTCCTTGTTCCTGGCTCTGTTGCACCTATGTTACATGAGGCTTCCCAATGGTCTCCCCATCTCTCCTTCGGCACAGTTCTGGATTACATACCCTGATCTACAGGACCTGCTCATATGTCTGGGTCCAAGATTCGGACACAACAAGAAGGATCTGGAGAGCCTCCATGTAGTCTCCCCCTCTTTTCAGGCTTTCAGACCAACTGTCCCCACCTTCATCTTCTCTTCCATTTTGTCCTCATAGTAAAACTTCCTTTGCCTCTTTCTGTTCCACCAGGTTAGGTTATCTCCTGCTCAACATTTGATCTCCTACATAACTAACAACCAAAAAAAAAAAAATCAGTAGCTACAGACTGGAGAGGAAAAGGCCATGGAAAAGAAATAAAGATAGAAATGATCAAACATACTGTGGCACAGTATCTGTTTGCTCTATGTCACATTGTTACACTATAATGTCTCCTGGAATATTCGGAAGATTGACGGAGCGGAGGCCTTCATGGATGTGCAAGGAGCTCCTGATTAAACTCAAATGCAGGGAGGGAAGTACACAAGAGGTGGAAGCAGGGATGGATGGCCCAGGAAGAATAGGAACACAGACTGAGCTTGCAGGGATGGGTTAGGAGAGCCAAAGACCACCTGGAGTTGAATCTGGCAAGGAATGTGAAGGGCAACAAGAAGGGCTTCTCCAAGTGTACCAGCAACAAAAGGAAGACTAGGGAAAATGCGGACTCGCTGCTGAATGGGGCAGGTGACCTGGTGACACAGGACACGGAGAAGGCTGAGGTACCAAACATCTTCTCCATCTCAGTTTTTACTGGTAAGACTGGCCTTCAGGCCAGAGGGAGACCAGTGGGAATGTCTGAAGTGAAGAAGACTTACCCTCAGAGGAGAAGGATCAAGATAGAGATCATTTAAAGAAACTGGATGTACACAAACCCATAGGACCTGACAGGATGCACCAACGGGTGCTGAGGTTGCTGACCAATGCCACTGCAAGGCCACGCTTAAATACCTTTAAAAGGTCCCTGTGACTGAGGGCAGTTCCTGAAGATTGCAAGAAAGTAAATGACACTCCGACCTTCAAAAAGGGGCAGGCAGGAAGGCCTGAGGAATGACAGGCTGGTCAACCTCACCTCAGTCCCTGGGAAAGCAATTGAGCAAATCCTCCTGAAAACCATCTCTGAACACAAGAAAGCCAACAAGGTGATGGGTGAGTGGTCAGCATAGATTTATGAAGGGGAAGTTGTGCTTAACCAACCTGAGAGCTTTCTATGATGAGGCTGGCTTGGTGGGTGAGCAGAGAGCAATGGATGCTCTTTCTCTTGACTACAAAAATGTTTTCAACACTGTCTCCCATTTCATCCTCAAACCAGAAGATCAAACATCTTTATTATTTGGTCCAGGCTAAATGGGAAACAGTGAGGTGGACTGAAAATTTGCTCAACTGCCCGACTCAAAGGATTATGATCAGCAACAAAAAATTCAGCTGGAGGCCAGTCACTAGTGGTGTAAAACTTGGAGTGGTTGATACACAAGACAGATGTGCTGCCACTCAGAGAGACCTGGAAAGGCTGGAGAAATGGGCACAGAGGAACCTCACTAAGTTCAACAAAGACCTGCACCTGGGGGGGGGCACCAGTACATGCTGGGGAGCACCAAGGGTTGGAAGAAAAGGCCCTCAAGGTCCCAGTGGACACCAAGTTGAACATGAGCCAGCAATGCCCCCTCATAACAAAGGCAGAAGCGACAGCATCCTGGGCTGCACTGGGAAGAGCATCACCAGAAGCTCGAGGGAGGAGATCCTTCCCCTCTACTCAGCACTGGTGAGGCCACACATGGAGCACTATGTCCAGGTCTGGGCACCCCAGTACAACATGGACATGGATATACTGGAATACAGTCCTATGAAGGGACTGGAGCACCTCTCATGTGCGGAAAGACTGAGAGAGCTGGGACTGTTCAGCCTGGAGAAGAGAAGACACAGGGGGATGGGTGTATATGAATACTTGATAGGGCAGTAAAGATGGAGCCAGACTCTTCTCAGCAGTGCCCAGCAACAGGACAAGAGTCAATGGGAACAAATGTAAATACAAGAAATTCCATTTCACTGTAAGATTTTTTTTTTTTTTAATTTAAGCACGATTTAACCATGGAGCAGGTTGTCAAGACAAGCTGCAGAGTCTCCATCCTTGAAGACTTTCAAAAGCCAATTAGGCATGTGCTGGGCAATCTGCGCTAGCTCACCCTAATTGAGCAGGGGGAATGGACTAAGCAATCTCCAGAGGTCCTTTCCAACACCAACTATGAATTTACATTTGAATTTAGGCTGTACATTCTTCAGTGACTTTTTCTGCTCTCTGATGTACCATATTAATATTCGGAGCTCCCTGAGTACAATGATAGACAACACTGTCTTCTAACGCACTTCATATTTAAGCTGTACATGGTCTATAGCCTCTTTCACCTTGTCCTTCCCCCTTTCTTTTCACTTCAAATCATGAGGCCACCTAAGATATCTGAGTAAAAATTCCTAAACTTCAGTGTACAGAAATACAGACAGGGCATTTTCTGCAAGGTCCCAGACTGCAGAATTCACTGAGCTTCTGCAGTCTTAACAGCTCTGCCTATTGTGCTCTAACCAGACCCACACTGCTTGTCTCTGGACCAGAGCAATACAGCCAGCTCCCTCCGGAAGGAAAACCTCCCGGGCACAATTTCAACCTGGGAACAACCTGCAAGTGAACCCTACAGGTATGCATTTGTTGATCCAACTGAGTATTCTCTCTTGTTCTTGGGTGGTCTTGCAAGCATGTGTCTTTTCTACCACTTTTTTTTTGTTGTTATTGCCATTTCGGTGATTTTTCATTCACGCTGATTGTTTCAAATCTATATTAGACATAAAATAGTTGGACTGCAAAGAATCTTTTCTGTTTGATACCTTTGAAATACTTTGCACACATTTTTCTGCAAAAAGTTACCCTGAGTTACAGGTCCCTGACGCCTTCTCCTGTGACATTAGAATGTTAACATTTCAATTCTATGTTTCCAAAGATGCTTCATCTTGCTTTGAGGCTAATGCAACTCAACTACGGCTTATTTAAAATCACAGGATATATATCCAACCATTACTGAAGCACACAAAAAATTAATCCCCTCATCTTTCTCCTTTCTGCTTTAGTATACTGCCTAGAAATATTGAATTCTCTAAATGGACAATAAATATTGCACAATAGAAGCTAATTAGAATAAAAAACCAATCTCCTTTGCTTTAATTTCCAGATGGTATTCAATTTCAGCAAGCACAGGAAAGTTTAACTAAAAATCAGCCAGTTCGAAACAGAGACTGGGGATACTATAAGAGAAAGAATATTAAAATTTAATAAATGTTCTTCTGTTTGGAGGTTTACTGTCTCGCATAACTTACTCTTTGTCCCTGAAAAAGTCTGGTCTTTACTAATTTGATAAATACAATAGCTTGGGGTAGTTATATACTGTACTGTATTGTGTTTCTGGTAGGCTTTTTACCCAGAGAATAACTGTATTGTCTATAACTATTGTATGCACTGTCCACAAGTCCACAAACCACATCTGCTTAATTATTCGTCCACTGCCAGCAATGAGGACAATGATTCTTTGATTTGCTGCCAGCAATTTTGTCTCCCAAGTCAGATCCTGCCCGCTCGATTTATTTAACTTTATCAATACCACTCTATTTAAATTTATCAACTTTCCTGGTAGCAACTGTAAAAGATTCAATACTGGTAAATGGAAGGGCGGACTTGTCTGAACAGTTTTAAGTATGAGCTGAAAATACCTGAAAATAGAAAGTCCTCAATCTCTCTTCTTTTGACTATAGTTACTATGCTTTTTCTTAATGATTCCCATTTTAGTTTACTGCTTTTAAACCCTGTGATTCAAGTACTTGTCCATGGCACTGAGAGAGGCAAGAAAAGTCTCTAGACATGAGATCCATCTAACCAAAGTTCAAAAAGATATAGTCAACACTTTTTAGTCAGCAGGGATAGCCATGTCTCTGCAGAGGTTTGTTCCTTCTCATCCTCAGACAGGCACCAATGCCAGATCAGATGAATGTGCTGGTCTTTCTTCACTACCTATAAAGTGAGACCAAGGTGGCTAGGTTAGGCTAAGACAGCAGCCTGGTCTAGTGGAAGGTGTCCCTGCCCATGGCAGGGGGCTTGGAACTAGATGGTCTTTAAGGTCCCTTCCAACCCTAACCATTCTGTGATTCTGTGACATCTAACTGTCTGACATCTAAGGTGGGGTGAGATGAATCTTACTACAGGTTTCTTTTCTACTATTGATCTCTGAGGCAAAAGCTCTCTCTTTGCTTTTCATCCTTTTCTTCCAAATTTCCACATGCATATCTGTCATCAAAGAGCTAAAACAGCATATGCGCCCCTGTTTTCCAGGGGATGTTGAAGCTTAGCAGTTTTGTTTCTGTTTGGAAATACTAGGGGCAAATTTAACATATAATCAAGGCAGAGAACAGAAGTGGTATAGAGTGTCATTTGCTTCACCATCTTGGATAGAAATACAGCATTAAAATAAGGGCATAAAGAAAAAAAAGTGCTTCTTCCCATCAAGCAATAGTAATAATTTTACAAATACTAATCTTTTAACCAAAAAACAAAAGAAGAGGCAAAAGAGAAAAGAAAGTATAAGCAAATAGCGTTAAATTGAAGCAAAATAGGCATCAAAGAGCTTCTGTCAAAAAAAGGCAGCCATATATGCCAGCACTTACCATCACAGTCGCAGCTGCCGCAGCTGCCTGGGCTGCCACCGCAGCCTGGTTGGCTTGGTGTTGCGCCGCTTTGATTTTGGCCTGCAAATGTGCAGGAGGGTGAAAATACTTGCATTTCTCCCTCATGCAACGACCTTTTATGTAATCCATACACACGGTTACGGTGTTGTCGTTTGTGTCAATCATTGTGCTGTCTGCCGGATGCGCAAAGCGGCAATCAGTCTCTCCACGCGCACAGTTTCCCCGCTGGAACTCCCTGCACACCTACGTGCAAAACAACACGCGTTGCAGGGGAAGAGCTCGGCGCAACACGAAAGGGCAGGGAGAGCCCCACACCCCACAAAAGACAGGTCTGCCCCCTTCCCCGGTTAGTTCAAGTTTTTCAGCAAATTCTATTTAATAAACCCTTCATCTTCTTCTTGGAGAGGGAAATGCATCTATTTTACCCTTACATGCTCGGCTCCTCAGGTAGCTCTGCAGTACGGTGGCTAAATGAACCTGACATGCAACAGAAGCATTCCCAAACGCCTTTCCTTCTTCCTGCCTAGAAAACACCTTGGAACAATACTTACTAAGATAACTTGCCACTGCATAACTGGAAATCACAAAATATTCAGTCCCTTTCGGACTAGACTTTATATTCTTACAGCTCTCCTGGTAGGGAGGGAGTTCCTTTTGTTGAGAGCCAGGGAAGGCATTCATCAGATGCACTGTATGTTTTATGGAGTCCACAAACAAAATGGAGAGCTTCCTTAAAAATAATTTTCAAAAATGGATAGAACAAACACACTGATTTTCCTAAGAAGAAACGTGCTTTAGAAACTACTGCTTAGGATTTTGGGAAAGGACGTTCATTTCTGTAAGAGCCATTTGGCCTTCCTGTACACTTGGATCACAGATTCCACTGAGCCCAGCCATGTGGGGACCCATCAACACCAGGGAGGCTCTGCACATAGCTGGGGGCTCGTCCCATCAGCCTGCTCCAGGGTTAGTTACGTCCATCATCTCCATTTGTAGCTCAAGGGCTGTACAATTCCCCTAATATCAATCCATAAGGCTATAAAAGTGCCCTAATATCAATGCATAAAAACCAGGACTGAATTAACAGTGCAATAAAAGTGTGCTTGTTAGATATTCCATCAAAGCATACTTTTACAGGCATGTATACTTGAGGTACGTTAGAGGGGATGAGCTTCTAAGAAAGATGAAACTTCATTGTCAAAGTCTATGTATTAAATTTGAGCAAGCGCACTACCTTAAAAATAACAGTGTTTAATTACTCCTGGCTGCAAGTGTAGAAATCCTGACTAGTTACATGTTACTTTTTATTTATTTAAACTAAATTTAAGCATCATTTCTAAAGCAGTGGAGTTTTTCCCTCCAGGATCTTTCACACAGCCTAACAGAGGGTTGTATTTCTAGTCACAGCGGTGTCTACAGTACCTCCAGTTTATCAGTCCTGAGGAGTTTCTGGGTAGCAGTTGAACCGGGGACTGACACCGGTGGACTTCCAGGAACAATGACAGGCGGCGTGGGTAGGATCTCAGTCGGGACTAAGCCAACTCCCGGTGTTACTGGCGTTAGGTAAGGAGCAAAGCTAATAGCCGTGTTCGTTCCTATTGTGGGACCCACTGGAAATGTGGGCTGCAAAACGAAAACACAGACCAAGATGAAAAAAACCAACCCCTTAATCAAGAGCTTTTTAGTTGTCTTTTGTGTGTTCTTTCTGGCGCCGATTCATTTTCTTAATCAAAAAATGTCAAACAGCTGGCAAAACACACAGCATATTCTCTTCTCCTAAACACGTAACGCGTTCCAGCGGCATACCAAGAACCGCGCTTTATCGCTCCGTTACTGGAAGTACGATGTAAAGGGAGTTGTACTTTGAACCTGAATCTCTATGGAGGTCCAGCTTACATTGCAGGCTTATTTACACATCGAAAAGTAGAAATAACATCCACTTCATTGCTTTTTCTTATTTTTTCCAAGTACCAGATTTCACGGGTGAAGCGTTATTAACTATATTAAAGCCCTATTTCTAGTAAGAGTACATATAATGAGCATGGCTTGCAACTTCCCTCCGCTTGCATGCTGCATTTTGCCACCTCCTGCAATTACACGTTACTATGGCTCACATATGGAAAAATCTCACCTTTGTGAATGTTTGTGTGCTCAGCTGTCACCAGTGGCAAGCAGAATAAATATTATAATCTCAGCTGGACACAATATTTAGAAAGGGATTATTCAGGCTTAGCTAGAGTTCATCGTAGAAAAAATTTGATCGGAAGGAATGATACGGGTCTAAAAATCTGCTTCATGCCTTCCTACAGCGAATCAGTGAAGCCATGACCAGAAGAAAGAGCGTTTGTGTGATGCTGAAATGCAGCCCTCCCAAGGCAGAATGGTGGGTTTGTTACCACCAGCCCCAGAGGGGTGGAGGCAGAATATCGCCATGGTCAGACCACGGTCAGACCTGGAGAGGGCTTTAGTTCTGCAGGGCTGACGTTCACCCCAGAGGGCGAAACGAGGCAAAACTATGCAGAAAAACAGGACGCATCACAGATTAGCTGTGTCAGAACTTAAGCCGGCAGCTAGAAATGAACCACACAAGAGCAAAACGTTAGGGAAAGGCTGAAAAACACTTAACCTTCTCATCAAGGTGGCCTGCATGGCCTCTGTTGAAGGGAAGCCAGCCATGCACGGTATGTAGAAAATATGAAAGAGAAAGCATAGGAGCTAGAAGGTTTATTTATTTTGTTGTTGTTTGGTGGTTAGAGTTCTTCTGGTCTTTGGAACCAATTACTAAATTATAAATGAATGTGAGTTAGTACCAAGAAAATGCTTTGAGTAGCAGATTAGCCCGGACACCCAACTGTATGGAGATGGCATTTACCTGCTCTAGAGAGTTCAAAGTGAACAATGCTCTGTTTTTATCAGAGATCAAAACTGCTTGATATCAAACAGCACAGTTTATGTTGAGTGCGAGCTAAATTCTTTAGAGCATAATAATGAACATTTATACGAAACAACGGCTCAGCTGTGTCGGGGACGGTATGTGTTATGCAAAATATAAATAACAGCTTTGTATCAGACGCCATTTTAAGAATAAATACACATGTTAAATGACTCCTATGGAATTTTCTTTCACTTTTTATCCATTTGGTCAAGGCTGAGTCATCTTAATCTGGCAATTTATGCAAGACAGAGAAATAAAACCCGGCACTTTTACCACGGCAACCAGTACAGAAGGCATTACATCAATAAAATTGTAAAGCTCAAATGATGAAATGGGTGAGTAGAAAAAAGTATAATTTTGTCACTTGAATTTTTCTCATAATACTAACAGGTGTAATCTATTATTTCATGAAAACTGTTTCCTGGTGAAAACTCAAGCAGTAAAAACCAAGAAAATATCAAAACACGTTATACCAATAAACCAAGATACATTCTGATGAACATGTACCAAAAATTCAGGGACTCCTGACACCCAATTTTTGTTCATGCCTCCCACACTGTAGCAGATGTATCAAGTGTAAAAACACATTTGAAAAAGGTATCTGGGGTGAGCTTCCTACGACCAAATACAGATGTCTTCCTCCGAGATGCTTACGCTTGGCTCCTGTGATAGCCCATGAAAAGACAAAGGCACTTAAATACCCAAATCACCTAATCCCAGCGCAGATGTCTGAAACAAGCCGAGAGAATAGTAAATAAAAGTGCCTATTTCTTTTGACAAACTACAAATGGACCAAGGAAGCCCAGAGCAGAAGTTGATGCCAGAATGCAGATGCCTTGTTAGAGAACAAAATCCCACTCCAGTGCCTTACACTAGGCATTTGGACTGAGAAAACATCATTAGCAGGCATGTGTGAAAAGTTTAATTCAGATTACTTGCCCTACCATGCCTTGGAAGTCTGGTACTGCAAAGGCAGCCCAGAGCTATTGATCATTTTCATGTATATCCAAAGAGGCTGCTCATGCTTGCAAGACTCTAGTTTTACGTCGCCTTCTGGATTTGAAGTGTCCCAAGCACCACATGGGTTATCTTCAGAAAAAATGCTGAGTTTGCAAAGTGCATGCATCAGCAATTCTGTTTCATTCTGGAACAATTCAGAATTCTAGTTCCAATCCCCCGGCCATGGGCAGGGACACCTTCCACTAGACCAGGTTGCTCAAAGCCTCATCCAGCCTGGCCTTGAACACTTCCAGGGATGGGGCATCCACAGCTTCTCTGCGCAACCTGTTCCAGTGCCTCACCACCCTCTCTGAGAAGAATATTTTCCTGATACCTCCAGAAGGATTATACGTAAAAACTCTGCAAATCTAGACTAAACCTGACATGAAATGATTGAAGGGGGGGAAAAAGAGAGAGGGAAAAAAAAGCAGCAAATTAGTGTGGAATAAAAAATATTATCAAATCTACAGCAACACTCCATTATATCTTCAAATGGATATATAAATTAACATATCTCTAGCATCTCAGCAATTTCTTAAGTCAACAGATGGGGACTATGTTTATGGATGCTAGTTTAGACAACATTTGTGGGTCAATATAGGCTTCAACTTTACTTACCAATAACACCATCAGAGAAATATACTTACCACTGGCTGTAGCGGTGTCCCTGGAAACATGAACTGCATTTGCTGGGCAAGCATTGCTGCTGCAGTTTTTTGTTGGATTAGGTTGTTCCTGCCATTGATTTCCAGTTGAGTTTTTAAATGTGTTGGTGGATGAAGGTACTTGCAGTTCTCCCTTGTACAACGACCCTGGAAAAAGAAGTCACACTAATTGGTCTGCTGCTTTGGATGCCAGTTTAATGCCTTCAAGCAAAATATTACACCATCAACTAAGCAAGAACTAATGAAATACAGGGTGTTTCCTGGGAACTGTGTAGCAAGCTGGGAGGAGCTGATGGCCTTGAGCTCTGCCTCAGCCCACTACCTCTGATCGTTAAGGCTATTAGCCACAAAAGAAAAAAAAGGGAAAGACTTTGAAACAGCAATTTCATTGTTAAGTACAGATCACTACTATACAATTAATACTCTGAGTATTATTGACTGCCTGAACTGCCTCTCATGGTATCTTGGCTAGAAAATCTGGTGTTATCATATCATCAATGTTTTTATAAATTACATTACATTATGAATAACAAATTTAAACTTTCTTGAAGAGAAATGCAGCTTTTAAGCACATTATATTAAAAATTGATGGTGTGTTCATGGCAGTAAGGATCTAAAGTGGCCACTTTCTCCTTGTGTTCTGTTGTACATTCACCCTTATCACAGTTCACTGCCTTCTGGCCTCCTGTTTTTACTACATCAGCACAACTTTGAACTATATCCATTCAAGTATAAAAGAACAGAAGTCAGACCGGTACTTTTGCAGCCTAAATTTAGAAGCACTGCGTGGACCTAAATCTGAAGGTACGCAGCAAAATGAGAGCTCCTGATCAACCTGAAGGCAGGAGGTTTTAGATAGTTACGAGGCAATAAGAGACCAATAAAATATGTGCGGGCAGTCACCTCCATGGTGGCTTGTGTTGGAGGAGATGGAGGTGGAGCACACCTCTCCAAGCAGTGCATGCCCAAAAAACCATAAGTAGAACAGCGTTAAGATGCGCTGATACGTTTTCCCCCAGAAAGGAAAATTGTAGGGTGCACCAGAAGACTGTGCAGCTGCAGGGCAGAAGTTGCTGCGATCAGAAGCTCCTCCATGACACGGCTCACAAAACAGTCACAAAATTTTAAAAGCTGTGACCACAGCATTAGTCAAACTTCATTGGACACACTTGACTTGTAGAAGGTAAATTTCCAAATTGAGATGTTTCTTTAAAAAGTGCTTTTTAAACTTTCCATTCCCCCTACAGCCAAGAAAACATTAAGATCGCTATGCAAGAACATCACACAGTACACACATACACTTGCTCTGTGTACGCATATGCACCCACACACGCAGCTACAAAACCTTCAATACACTTCAAATCATAGAATCGTAGAATCTTTTAGGTTGGAGAAGACCTTTAAGCTCATCAAGCCCAACCGTTAACCTAACACTGATAATACCACCACTAAACCATGTCCGTAAGCACCACATCTACTTGTCTTTTAAATATCTCCAGGGATGGTGACTCCACCACTTCCCTGGGCAGCCCATTCCAATGCCTGACAACCCTTTCAGTGAAGAAATTTTTCCTCATATCCAATCTAAACTTCCCCTGGCGCAACTTGAGGCCATTTCCTCTGTTCCTGATACAGGCCAGGATGCCATTTGCCTTCTTGCCCGCCTGGGCATAGTGCTGTCCCAGAACAACAGTCTTAATGTTATACTTTTACTCACACACCAAAACCCTGCTGATTCTGGCCCTAATCTGCTGTAGGGATGTAATTACCTACACAGGAGTCCATTAAACATGTTCAGGAAGGCTCTTCTGCACCGAGACTGACAGGAATGCACGCAGCTATTTCCACACTATGAAGTATTGAGATCAGCCCTTACCTCAGCAACGCCTGGCCACTGTTTGGAAGAAAGCTAAACAGCAGAGGCCAGAAGAGCTGAAGAAAGCTAAAAATTTAAGAAAAAAAAACAGTCTTGGCACTCGTGAACACTTCTTGGTCCTGTTTTATCCTGCTAGTATAGCTGCGGCCACTTTCAGAACATGGTGCCTTCCTTAGGCCTTCTGTTGTGAGAGTCACTAATTCTGCCTGGTTTAATGAAGTACACAAAAGGAATGTTACTTTACCAGCTGGCATGAGCAGAAACAGAAACAGTGACAATTTGATGGACACAGAAGAAGGCTGGCTCTTCTGTTCAGGGGGGGACAAGCCCATTGCCTTCATAATGTTAAATTGGAGCACGTTCAGCACAGGCAATGAGCGTACGCTTTTGTGCTGGCTGACGAGGCCAACTGATTAAGAAATTTTAAACTGAGATTATTATTTTTATTATTTAATTTCTTTTATATTAATTATTATTGTTGTTATTAACATTTAACCATATGCTATTCTGTGGATGATTACAAAATCAAATCTGAAAATTAAAACAGCAAAATCAAATCAAATTACCTGATAGAAATACCTACATAGGGGAACAAAAGTGCTCCTCAAATAAGTAAATCTCAACCACAGTGGCTTTTGAAGTACCTCAAGCCTGGCCTTCAGCCAGCCCTCCACTCCTACCTCTGAAAGCACACGGCTACTATACACCATCACTTCAAGCTCTGCAAAGCAACCCACAGTGCACAAAAGACTGGTTATTTCAGAAAAATTACCAAAATAATCCAAACATATAAGAACGTACTGTCCTCTCTAAACTTATTCATGCCTGTGCCTCATTTACTAGTTTTTCGAGCCCCTGGTTAGCAATGAATGTACTATAAAAGAGTTGTGTGGCCCCGTCACGCTACTATAGAAAGCGCTGTAAACAGATCAAGCCTTGTTGAAATGAAATGACCCAAAATAAACCGCAGTGGAATGAGCACTGAAAATAGTGAGCAGATTAATCCAGCCGTAGCTACCAAAATTAAATACATTCTGGGACCAGCTTTCACTTTTCAGACCTACAACGGTTGGAGGAAAATGCCTAGAAGCAACTTTTCATTGCTTTTTTAATTAATGCTTCATGTCCCCGTGACCTCCTGATGAGATTAGATTCAGAGAGGAACCAGGATGATTCCCAGCTGCCAATCACTGCAAGAACAAAAATTCAAACTTGTGGTATCATCTCAGGCAAATGGGACCCTGGATTTTTTTGTTTATTAAAAAGTCAAATATGAAGCCCAACTGAGACGATAGCACATATCAACCAAACGGAACACACAGTTGTACACAACACACAGGAGCATTCGGCATGTTGCGTTAATATCTACAGTAAGAGTCGGCTTCTTGCCAAAAACTACTATGCTAGCAGGCCATCTCATAACAGATAGAGACAAAACTTTAGGATACATCAAGGCTCCAGAGTGAGGCTCGGTTCATCACAGCTCTGGAAAGCACAGCAGTTCCAGGGGCATGCAGTTCTCACAAGGTGCATGGCGGCACAAGCTCTGTCAGCAGGATGAGGCAGGCAACAGGGAAAATAATTGCTTCATACAACTTTTAGCCGGTTCCCACACATGAGTCAGAGCCCTGAAAGTGAGGGCGCAGACAGATTGGTTTGAAACTTGGTCCCTAGAAACTCCCGTCACCCATGAAGTGAAGGTTATCAACAAGCGCATCGTAAGCTGTTGTGCACTTCCCGTCTTGAGTTCACACAACAAGCTCACTTTAAATGAGCTGTCTCCTTATCTACAGTGGATAGTAATGATGAACAGACATCAGATTAAACTCCCAGCACTCCGTTACGCCCCTCATCCTGTGAGGAGGGTACCTACCTCTGACCTTTTGTTTGCCTGCCCTTGTCCTCTACAACTAGCCTAGCCTAATGCTTAGCGACAAATTTAAGGCAGGCAATGAAAAGTTTTAGCAGAAAAACTACTTTTCTACTGCTAATTACCCAGACTGGAAACATGCTGTGGCTTGTGTAAGGGGATGCGCCACACGCTTCATTCCAGTATGGAAGTGGGAGAGGGAA